TCTATCTCTATCTATCTATCTATCTATCTATCTATCTATCTATCTATCTATCTATCTATCTATCTATCCATCCATCCATCCATCCATCCATCCATCCATCCATCCATCTATCATCTATCATCCATCCATCTGCTTTCTGGCAGCCTTGATGGGTAAGCAGATTTACTCCAAAACATGCCCTCTGCAATGATTTTCTGCCTCACCACAGATCCAAAAGCAGCAGATCCAACCAACAGTGGACTGAAAGCCCTAAGTAACCATTTCTTCCTTGATTGAATATCCAAGATAACGTTGGTTATCCTGGATAATTTGTCATATCATACAAAATTGATTAACACATTATTAACTACATTCGGTAACATAAACAGTTTAAACCAGTCTTACAATTTAAAAACTTTTACATCACTGCAGGAACGCTTTATTATGGGAATTCTGAGATGCAGTAAATGACCATTCTTGTGGACAGTCTTTTCTAAAGATAGGCAGTTTCAGTCATTAGTTGTATTTAAGTACAATTCAATCCCTTGGACAAGATATTTGTATCAAATTTATTATCAGTTGGAAGCCAGGTTACAGGATGAAACTGGTCTGCAGTATTGACTTCATATGAAAGCAAAGAGTTGTGTATGTCAGCTGTGAAATAAATTCTATTAACTGTAACGATCTTAGAAACAAGATTGGTGAAGTGTAGGGGGGGGGCACTTAGCTCTGCTGCCTCATCCTCAGCTCTGTTCAGTGATCACAGGCCCAGCTGTTAGTTTACACCACTGCCTCTTATCATCCTGGTATTCAAGGGCTTTTGTGAAAAGCACATCGTGAATGTTATCTTTCCATGAAGCTTCCCAAGTTCTGGGATTTAATTTTTTTTTCTGCCATCACAGAACCAGTTCAAAATAGCCCTTCTGCCTTCGTAGTTCAATGAGATGTATAGAGTTTGGGACAAGGTGGTGTTTGAGCGGCCTCTTTAAACCATCTGTGTGCTATTTTTATTACTGAGTTAATTAGAATAAAGTGATTTTCTTAAGACAAAATCAGTATGTTTCATTTGAAGTCTATCACTTCACAGATTTCCAGATATTATGTTATCTTATCTTTTACTTAGAAAGGTGGAGTGCCCGAAGAATGAGATAATTTATACAGAAAAACACTTTTAAACTAGGTATGGTGAACCATGTCTCTATAGCACTTGAGAGGCCGAGGCAGAAGACATGCTCTGGGTGTGAGACTGGGCTAAGTTAGATAGTTTTAGGCTAGCCTGAGATGCAGAGTAAGGCTCCTGTAAAATAAGGATACATTGGTCAGGAAAATATCATATTCTGGCTGGGCCAAAATCCCTAATTGTCAAAAAGTTCAGAGTAGTGTTTTCTTTTTTGTCCTGCCATTTATTCAGAAATTCAGAAAACAGCCTGGAATTATGAATCTGTCTGGATCCAGCTTCATTGAACCACCAAACTATCTACAAATAAGAAAAGGGAGTAAATTTGGCTCTGTCCATTATTGCAAACTCCAGACAATCTAGAACACGTAACAGAAGCTCTGAGAAACCCAAAGAAGGGTCATTCAGTAGTAATTTCCTCCAAATGGAAACATTCCTTCCAGGAGGGAGATTCATTAAGAGTCAGGAAGTAAATGAAACTCCCAAGGCAGTGGAAGTCCTTACAGCTTTGACAAGGTCCCTCCCAAGGTTGTATTATCACTAATAATTGCTGGGTAGAAGAGACTCTGTGACCTGGAGAAGCTGCCTGCCTCCAAGTCAGGCAGGGAGTTACCAGAATTGAGCAGTTGTGAATTGTTCCTCATACTGGGGTGGGCTTCTCATGGATGTAGCTGCCTCTGAGTTGTCTGTGCTCCCATTAGCAACTCCTCGCCCCTACTGCTGTAAGTAACTCCAGCAAATACTCCAGTTTACTAACTAGACTTGGGTGGGATCCTTTCTTTGATCTGTCATTGGTGACTTACCATGGGCGAATTAGTGCTTGTCCATGTTTCCTCGGGATTGCTACACAACAGGAGTCAACTGTCTCATCTGTTAGGAGTGGAGGAAGAGACCCTACCCCCTGTGACATGTTCTTTTTCATCTTGCACCTTCCTAGAGGAAACACAATTTGAGATAGAGTTCTTATGAATGGGTTAGTACGTATAGTATTAGTTAGTTCTCCATTGCTGTGATAAAACACCATGGCCAAGGCAACTTACAATTCTAGAAGGCTAGAGTTTGTGATGGTAGAGTGAGGGGAAGAAGCTAGATGGCTGGAGCAGCAGCTGAGAGATCACATCTTGATCCTTAACCAGGAGGCAGAGAGCACATTGGGAAAGGTGCAAGTCTTTTGAAACCTCAAAGCCCCGCGCCCAGGTGACACACCTCCTTCAACAATGCCACACCTCCTAATTCTTGCCAAACAGTTCCACCAACTGGGAACCTAGTATTCAAACATTTGAGCCTATGGAAGCCATTCTCATTCAAACCACCACACACAAGATTGTTAATTTCATGTACCAACTTGATTGACCATGAATTACTCAGATTAAATATTATTTTATTCAGATTAAACATTTGTTTCTAAATGTGTTGATGGAATTATCATATGAATTGTTTGACTTCATAATGAAGCTTGCTTTCCTGATCTAGATGTGTATTATCCATCCACTGGAGGCTTGAATACAAAGTTTAAGGAGCAATAATCCCCTACCCATTTGCCTCATTGCTTGACCCAGAACATCTCATCTAATCTTCTCGAACTTTGAATAGGCATTTACACCATTGATTCCCCTGATTTTTATGCCTTAAAATCAGGCAAAATTGCTCCACCAACTGTTTTGGTTGGAGATGGTAGATTGTGCAGATGGTAGATTGTGGGACTTCTGAAATTCCATAATTCCATGAGTCAGTTTTCCACATTTGTTCATATTCCCCTTTCTCTCTCTCTCTCTCTCTCTCTCTCTCTCTCTCTCTCTCTCTCTCTCTCTCTCTCTGTTGGAACTCTTCTACCTGACAGTTCCCTGTTCAATTAATTCAGCTGAGTGCTTGACTTTGGAAAGACCACACAAAGACATTTAGTATTTTGGTTCTATACTTTAGAAAACTCTGACTCATACTGTGCCCCTAGAAAAGGCAACAGAACAATGATCTTTGGCTTGTCATGATGCACTGAGAGGGCAGCTCTCTGCAAGCCAAGAGGGTGGCTCTCTACATGCCAGGGAGCAGATGCTCACCAGAAATGTGTTCTTTTGCTGCCTTTGTCCTGGGCCTCACAGCAACCATAACTGTGAAAAATACTAGCTTGTTGTTTAACCCTTGGTCAACCCCGAGAGGTTTTGCTTAGCGGCCTCAGCTAAGACACACCTGCCTAGTCCATACCAAATTCCAGGTTCCCAGAAAACAAGTGGATGTTTAGCATAAACCACAGTGTGTGCACAGTTTAAGGAGCCACTGCTCACTTAGAGAATGTTTTAAATCATAACATGCTTACCACCCAAGGTTCCAGATTGCATGCAAGGGCAGAGGTCAGAAGTGGTAATGTAAGGGTCTGTGAATTAGATAAGAGATAGAGGAAGCCATATTGGATGCTGCAAATGTGTCTTTACCTACAGTGGTTGGTAATGCAGGGACATGTATACACAAAATTCATCAAACTGTGCTTAAGAAATACATATTTTATCTTTGTGTGTATATGGGAAATATTTTGATTAAAAGTTGCCTTTGACCCAGGATCTGGATTTTCTGCCACTATCAATTTATTAGAAGAGTATTCTCGTCTATGTACATTATAACAGCTTTCAAATTACAGTCATCTGGTCTTTATTTGTGGTCATTTCACAACTGGTCTGCAGCTGGTAGGAATTACATGAGGGTCACACTCCATCATTATTGGCAGCTGGAGATGTCACCACATGCTGTTGGCAGCAAGGTGCAGGGCAATCCAGGCAGTAGGCTGTACTTCCTACCCTTAGGCTGCAAGCCACAAGTCCTGGAAGAATGTTTAAAAAGTTTCCCAATTTAAATAGACAAAGGCAAGAGGAGTGTGGGCCGCGCAGTTTATAAATAGACATTGCTGAAGGCTGACTGATGATAAAGTGGTTGTTTGGTAGATCTTTCTCCTCAAGGATATAAGAAAAGAATCATCAGCTAGGCATGGTGGTGCATGCCTGTAGTCCTAGCATTTGGGAAACCGAGGCAGGGGGAATCACAAGATCAAGACCAGCCTGAACTAGCTAGAGAGATCCTGTCTCAAAGAAACAAGAATGCCATTCTTGGAAATAATTGAAAAAATACTAGTTTACTCTGACCTCTCGAGTAGATCCTGAGTTTTTTTTTTTAATATTTTAATTCATTGTTGCAAAAAGTATAAAGGTGATGATGATGTGCCTTTTGCCAATTGGACAAGAAGCTTCTGTGGTCATAACCAGAAAGACAGCTGTGACAGAAAACTTTGAAATCACAACATGGCCTACTAAACCACAAGGTGCCAGTTTCAGGAAATGCTGTCAACTCACTGATTTATCATAGAACTAGAGAAAGAATGGGGTCAGAAGACTTAGAGACTATTTAAGGAAAAGTTAAAATCCGTACTTCCAATTCTCTCCTCCTCCTCCCCCACTCCCTGCCCCTCTCTTCATTCATGTGAAAGCCCTTCAAGTCTTTTTATGTTGTCCTTTAAAGGTCCCAACTTTTGTCTACTAGGTAGTGACTTCTTCATTTTTAATAATCAAAGTTACCTTTAGCTGCTGTTCACACAGCTCTAGCTAAGACAAAGCATCATACTGAGTGACAAAATTCAGACCAACAGAAAGAGGCCTGATGTTGTACGTGAAAGCCTTTTAGAGGTAACTGTTGTAGGTTCTTCTAACTACAGATCAAGGCTGTTTTGCCTTGGAACAGGCTGGGCTCAGAGCAAGGACACTGCTGCTTCCAAGCAGAACTCTTATCTTGTTATGTCATCAGAAGAGTTGCTGCAACTGTTCTAGGGCAATGTGACATTGAAACACCACCTGATAGGAACCGTTAAAATGCAACCCCCCCCTTAGAATGTGCTGTGCGTTTGCTATCCACTGCCTTTCCTGCTGTGTATATACCACAGCATATCTAATATTTGTGGTGATTTTTTTCACTACCTGCTCATTGCCTGTCTGTTAACACTATCCCACATGACATTTTGATGGTCTGGGAAAGGGAGCCTCTCTTGGCCACTTTTTACTCTGGTGCCTGTTGTTGATGTAAAAGCCACAGCTTTCCTATTAAAGGGACCAGAGATAGTTTGTTTATTCTGAGCCATTTTGAGTAAGCATGGCCCAGAAACACAGATTTAGGTTACCCCAAATTCCATGTTCTAACATGGAAGCAGTTTCATGAAGCTTTTATTGTTTTTCCAGAACAAAGAAAGCCATAAGTCAAATGGACCTAACAGACATCTACAGAACATTCCAAGAAACACTAAACAATATACTTTCTTCTCACAGTCCATGGAACTTTCTCCCAATTGAACACATATTAGGACACAAAGCAATTCTCAATAGATAGAAGAAAATTTAAATAACACCCTGCATCTGTGACTACCATGGATTAAAGCTGGATATCTATAACAATAGGAATGGCAGAAAGTTTACAAACACGTGGAAGCTGAACAACTCACCACTGAATGAAAATTTTGTCAAAAAAAAAAAATCAAGAAGGAAATTAAGAACTTTTTAGAATTGAATAAATTTGGAAACAAGCCATATCCAAACCCATGGGACACATAAAGGCAGTTCTAGAAGGAAAGTTCATAGCACTAACTGCCTACATAAAAAAAAATTAAGAGAGAGCTCATATTAGTAACTTAACAATACAATTGAAAACTAGAAAAACAAGAAGAAACAATAACCTAAATGAATACATAGGAAGAAATAAGCAAACTCAGGGCTGAAATTAGTAAAATTGAAATAAATAACAACAAAAATACAAAGAATCAATGAACAAAGAGTTGGTTCTTTGAAAAAAACAACAACAATATTTTCCTTAGCCAAATTAACAAAACGTTGGAGAGAGAATAAGTAAATCAATAAAATTAGGGATGAAAAGAGAGTCATTACAACAGACACCAAGGAAATTCAGAGACTCATAAGGACATACTTTAAAAATCTTTACTCCACTAAATTGGAAAACTTAAAAGAGATGAATAAATTTCTTGATGTATATTATGATCTACTAAAGTTAAATCAAAATGAACAATTTGAACAAACTTATTACTCCTAGTGAAACAGAAACAGTAATTAAGTTTCCCAACCAAGAAAAGCCTAGTGACAGACGGATTCAGTGCAGAATTCTACCAGACTTTAAAGCTATTCCACAAAATAAAAACTGAAGGAACATTTCCCAACTCCTTTTATAGCACCATCTACTAATCTGATACCAAAACACAAAAATCCAACAAAATGAAAATTATTGACTAATATCTTTTATGAACATAGATACAAAACTTCCTAATAAAATGCAATCTTAATATAAGAACACATAAAAAAGATTGTCCACCATGATCAAGATGAAGCTGGCTTCCTGTCAGAGATGCAGGAATGATTTGATATACATAAATCAATAAATGTAGCCCACTACATAAACAGACTGAAAGACCAAACCCACACATGATCATCTCATCAGATACAGAAAAGATCTTTGCAAAACTAACATCCATCCCTCTGTGATAAAAGTTCTGGAGAGACTAGGGATACAAGGGACATACCTCAACATAATGAAGGCAATTCAAAGCCAACATTAACCTAAATGGAGAAAAATCCAAAGCATTTCCACTAAAATCAGGAGCAAGAAAAGAATGTTCACTTTCTCTATACCTATTTAATATAGTACTTGACGTCTTAGCTAGAGCAATAAGACAATTGATAGAGACCAAGGGGATACAAATTGGAAAGGAAGAAGTCAAGTGTTCTTATTTGCAGATGCTATGATAGTATACATAAAAGACCCTAAAAATTCCACCAGGAAAGTTTTACAGTTGATAAAAAACCTTCAGCAAAGTAGTAAAATAAATCATTAACACAAAATTGGTAGCCTTCCTATATGATGGCAAACTGAGAAAAAAAAAAATCAAGAAATGT